ATACTCCCTGTAACACATATACGAGTATGCAGATCGAATGCATGTTACTGGCAAGATAAATACTGAAGTGTAACGAATGATAATTTAGCTTAGACCTAGCTTAGACCCGTCAAAGGTACATTGCGCATCCTTTGGTAGCTCGCGTTACCCCCCACCCCGTAGGGCTATCGGCGGACCCTGCCACTCGTAAGGGGGCCGTATGGCACCCCTCCCCCTAAGATTTCGGAAAGTTACCGGCCGATTTTCAAAATTCAAAATATTTGGTTTGAAGACCGTGTCAGATCTTCAAACGGCGTGCGATAGCCCCACCGGGGAAGCACCTTGTTACCAGGGGTGGATTTTTATATCAAGTTGGGGTTGCACGTGCAACCCCAACTTTGAATTGTGCACCCCTAACATCAATTTGTGCAACCCCAACTTCAAAATTGAAGTAAACCGGCGGGCGACTCAAAGTGTGCCGCCCCTATAACCATGTACCATCCCAAAACTCTATGCCGCCCGTTGACAGTGCGCACCATCTTGCAAAAAATGGCCACCCTAATCATCATGTCATTTAATCTGCCATCAGGCAAAGGATCTGGAGATCAGCACCGGGGCAAGGGTAAAGCTGCACATCTGCCACAGCGACCTGGTCTACAAGGACGTAGGATATCCCAGCATCCCGGCAACAGCTGATTCGTCGGTACAAGTCGAGGAAGCTACAGCTCCGCCAGCTGACTTGCGTAAACAAGTAACCGCGGTACATGGCGACGCTTTGTCTCCTAGCAGGTGTGCGCGAGTGACCCCGTACGACCGTAACACATGCCAGATCTGCCGAGCGGAATATGTTGAGGGCTGCGAGGGCCTCTGGGTGGGCTGCAGCTACCGTGGCTCGCGGGGACGACAGGTATGTCAGTGGTGGTGTCACCAGAAGTGTGTGCGACTGCGATGTGAATCGGCCGAAGAGCTCGCACGCATCCCCATCTACTGCCCTACCCACCTCTGAGGAGAACGGTAGACAATGCCTGCGTGGGAGATGTGATGTGGTAAGGTATGATGTGTATGATGTATGATGTGTATGTGTATTGTATGGCACTGCATTAACCCGCGCACCGACGGGGTGGCTATCCGCCTCCCTCCCCCCCCCCCCCACATCAAACGTTTTCCGTCAATAGCGGGAAAACCGCGGCGCTGCGGCTTGTTTTGGACCTGACCTTAAAATATTTGTATAAATTGCAGACATGATCGCTCGCATTGTCCCATGCTCTTTACCGCTCTCGCCGCTAGCTTGCTTCGTTATCCAGATATCACTGGAGGGAGGTGGGGCCGGTATCCGCCCCCCCCCCCCCTCCGTTGGTGCGGGACTGGCGCGGACCCCCGTCGGTGCGCGGGTTAATCTTGTTACTGGAGGGCTTTAAGAAGTGTATTGCTTGATGAGGGTACCAGTTCCCTTCTGATGGCTGTCGTGCTTTGACATTCATTTGAGGAAGTAAAAACGATTATTTATGTTTCACGGTGCGCAAACGTCAGGTCAGAATAGAGTAAGCGGTTTTGTCCATGGTTATTTCACCAGACATTTACTTGCATGCATCCCAGCGCTGGATGTATGATCTCAGTGGATCTCTCGACAAAATGGAGGGGACGGATATATGATCTCAGTGGATCTCTCGACAAAATGGAGGATTGTTTGATCTCGCGAACCTGGCGCAAGGCGATAGATACTCTCACAAACACCTGCGGCGGTCCGGTCCGGCGCAGTGGCGGGATTATTTTCGGCGCGCGGGGTCCGCCCAACGTGCTATATGCAACATATGTAATTTGAATCGTATATCTGGAAAAGTCTTTGATGTCGGTCAAGAGCAGCACTATTTTCGTGTTCAGGAGGTCACGATACATCAGAAGTGGTACTATGTTCTAATCAATTTTGAAATTTTCCTGAAATTTGGTGTGGTCCGATTTTTCCGAAAAGTTTACAAACCAGAATATGCTAGTAGTAAAATCAACGTGAATAACTTGTAAAATACTTTACAGGGTGTCTCAAAAGTTTGTTGACAGGTACCAGCCATGCTTTTTTGTCAATAATTCTAAATCAACAATTAATTAACTCTCGCCCCGTTGGGGGGGGCATTTTGGCCCCCCCCTCTGTGGTTTTTCCTGAATAGCAAGAAAACGGCGGCGCGCAGCGCCGCCAAATTTTCAGTACCTTCCCGGGCATCAATTTGACACCTTCACACCAAATTTCAAGTCTTAGGTCACCTTAGGTCAGGAGTTATTGAGGTCAAACTGAGGTCATGTTCGAGCAAAAATGAGCAAAAAACATGCAATCTTGAAACGCTCACCAAATCTACAGTTATCAAGCAATTTCAAAGTTCTTTATATGGTCTAGTAGACAAAAAGCGGCGCTACAAAACTGCTATCTCGGATTTTTAAAATTTTGGGTTTTTGACAAAAACATTCAAAAAATTGATTTTTTTAGAAAAACTAAAAAAAAATCCAAAAAATTTCCTAATTTCGCAAAAACCGGAATATATGTGATAGTCCCTGCGCTCTTCTATATACATACCAAATTTCATATCGATATCTCGTTTTTTGGCCAAGTTATAGCGAAAAAACTGTTCTAAAATGATGACGTCAAATTTTTGAACTCAATTTTTAGCGATTCTAGACCACGTACGGCAAAACAAAGACCACCATTGAACTTCCCGTGACGAGCTGCATCGATTCGATACCCATTTTATGCAAAAATATCAACTTTGAAATTTGACCTAATTTGACCTGACCTTGACCTGACCTTGACCAAAACGTGACCTAAGCTGGCCCCAAAGGCTGCCTGACCCACATAATCGCATTTGTCATGTAAAATGGACCATAAAACATGTATCACACGACACTTTCATATTGTGACCCCCCAGTGACCTGACCTCTGTGACCTGACCTGGTATCAGTGACCTCAAATAGCAAAATATGTGTTTGAAGAACATTTCCCCATCGATGACTTTCAATGAAATGCATTTTACTCGATTTTACAACGCATTTCTTGAAATGCCTGTAAACGGTGAAAATTCGACCTTTGACCTGACCTGTGACGTCATCGGTTTGACCTAGGTCAATAAAATTGGGTCACAAGGTAGTTCCCTGATAGGGCTATCCAACACCGTTTGCCGCTTGTCGCTAGGTTGCGTGGTTCTCGAGATCTTAGGGGGGGGGGCAAAATGCCCCCCCCCCCAACAGGGCGCGTTGCTCGGCAGAGCCCAACGGGGCGCGGGTTAATTAACGGTCGAAATGTTGCATGGGCATTCGTAACAACCTTCCTCAAGCAGTCTCATTGTTTTCAAGCGCATTCGACCCTTCATGCGCTCACAAAAAGGGTTCATCTTTGACCATGGGTCAGGCATGAAAATGGAGGTCGCAAAATCGCGTCGGCTGAGAAACTCTATTTCAGAAGTAATGGGAATAGTTAAGTCGGAAATGACCCATGGCAAACTGTCGGCGAGGATGAGTACAACATGATGATCAATTGATCATCTAATAAAAACGGCGGCTAAAATTTTTGAAGGACAAAACCATGCGAGACTAACAGCGTTTTGAACGACCCTCGTACGGCAGCAGAGTCGTGCTCCGGAAAGCAGCTGAAAATGAAGTCTGACAAAATGAAGTCTATTGAAAACTGACAAGAAGCTCACAGACAGAGATTAACCAGTTTCAGAAATTGCAGGTCATCGTAAAATAAAGACAAAGTATCATTTGAAATTGTTTATTATAATATCTATAACGCTAAATTTTGGGGAAAATAACACGAAAATCGTCAATGCCAAGGACAATTGCCCCTCCAAAAGTGTCAATTAGTGTAAATTTTTATCCTACGAAGTTTCAAGAGGCAGATCTGGAGCGAATAGCTTTCTTTTAGACACAAAATCCCGACAAAACCGCACGATGGACAGGTTTTGTTTTGGCCGTTTACAAAGCAGAGCCTCTTCGGCCTCTTCTGAGAAAAACACTCCGCAACTCAGCGAAGGTCTTGTCATGGGGAATGATGAGCGTTTGGGATTTGCAAAATTTGCACAACGTGTCTAAGAAACAGATGGTCGACACATTCTTCTACGATATGCTGCGAAAAATTCACCCCTGGCACTTCCCATTTGTTCAGGAAGGGGGTTGTTTTGAAAAGGAAAATGGTGCTTGTGAGGTCGGCGCCAGTCATTCATGAAGGAGTTAGCGCCTCAGAAGACCTACAAAATACTCACGGGTGGTGTCGATGCAAGCTGTCGGCTTTCAGGGAGAAGCGGATGTTGCCGGGGAGCTCGTCAAACCTAAATCTGACGCAGAAACTGGAGGGGATTCCCCTACGAGAGCTTGAAAGCTGGTAACCTTTTATCAGCCTCCGGCAGCTGACAGAGCGACGAAAATCGGTATGGACAAATATTTTTGGAGCTACAGCAAATAGTTTGATTTCCAACCTACCGAATCAGTTGTCAAAGCATGCATATTTGTCTAGTGTGCACACAGACACCAAAACCTTCGATTTTTGGCCTGTTCTTATATGCTTTATGGGCATGGGAAAGGTGTCAACGAACTTTTGAGACACCCTGTATGTCGGGAAATAAAAACTTGATTTTCGGACTTAGGAGCTCAAAATCTATCTGCTGTGCAATTTTCAGCCAAATCGAAGGGGTCCGCGAATGTGCACGCGAACGTGAATGTGAATATGATGAAACTATATGAACGTAAAAATTGGGCTAGGCGGCTGTTTTTTTGTTGGTAAAACTGGCCTCAGGTGATAATCTAATTAACATATCGTCGATAACTAAATTGTCTCTATGCTTTTTAGTCTTTTATCACTGGCACAACTCTGGGTAGTAACTAAGAGTATGTACACGCCGAGGGTGGATGTGATTATACCCAGCGGCACTCAGGCAAACGTTGTTTCGTTCAGCTGGTGTCATCCACTGACGCATGCAGCATTGCTTCCTGGCAACCACATGCTCTCGAGCTCCCAGCGGCCAACTGGTGATGAACCTCACTGAACATGTCAGTCGTTTATTTACAAGACCGGTAACATGTGCACGGATGGATAAAACGGTCCAATATTTACACAATTTGTCGTTGAGCATAATAGAGTTAGCACGAGGCATTGACCCAGCACAGAGCGACGCCCAACTTTGGAAAGGTCGTCACATAGAAGGATCAACAAACAATATAGCCTTCCAAGGTCTGTACATAATTCACTATGACGCTGGACACGATTGCCGACCCGACTGTACAACCTAGAACCAAAAGTTCCCGCTCCTCGGAATAAACAATTTTATAAACTATCCTTACGTCTCAATAGAAGTCCATTCATTTTAATATTATTCAGCTTAACTTACACAGGAACAGTCTTACAAAACACCACTAGGGGTCGGCGGGCGGTGGAGCGCTGCGGGCGGCGGCCTCGCGCGCCGCGCCAGGGGCGTTGCATATTCGTCCCCGCCCGCCCGCGGCTGGCGAGCCGACATGGTTTGTATGCGTTTGTGTGTATTGATGTGTTTGTGTCCGCGCATGTGAACATGTGCGCGGCAGCCAGGTCATGAACAGAGAACCGTGCCGACACTGGGCCGATTGCTCGGCTCTGGATGAGGCCGGTAGGATGGGGCTGGTTTCAGTCGAAAATACTGATTCGCTAGTGACCGTTTGGTAGAACAGATACCAAGCTTGGAGCTCCTGAGATTCCCTAGCGTCACCATCAACAAAAAGGCTAAAACAGCGCGGCGGCCGTTGCGCTGTGCCATCCAGCGCCGATTATGCATGGGCATGGCGGCGTGCGCGCGGTAACAGCTCAGACACGGCGCGGGCGGCGCGCGCCCCGTCCGCCGCCCTCCTCGCGGTCCGGCTCACTCACAGAGCGACTGGAAACATTGCGCCCGGCGCGCCGCGACCCCGCAGCGGCCCCCGGCCGGCGTCAATAAGTATCACAAACATTATTCCACAGTACGGCGGCGCGGCGCCGCCGGCACCGGCCGGCCCCTCTCGCGCTCTCGGCAGGCACACAACTCGGACGCAGTCATCACCATCGCATTAAATAAATAGCTACACCACAAGTCGACGCCGGCCGGCGCCACAAACCCGGCGCCCAGTCGGAGTTCGTCGTAAAAATGTAAAAATATTTGATTTTGCGTGCCGACTGAGCGGGCGGCGGCGGCGACGGCGCGGTCGCGGTACGCGCCGCCTCCGCCGCCGCCGCCGGCCGGCGCATACGAAAATAGTCTGTCGGCTGACGGTGGGCGGGCGGGCACGGCTAGAGCATGGCGGCCATGGCGGCGTACAGCTGCACCAGCAGCTGCATGTGGATCGGCAGGCAGGAGCGCCGGTCCTGCGTCGCCGGGTCCAGCGCCAGCCACGACAGCCGGTTGTAGTTCTCCAGCACGTGCCTGGCGGGAGGGGCGAGCGGCGTCAGTCAGATATCGTAGCTCCTCAGGCCACCTTATCCCCAGATCAACTAACTCAGAACAGGAATGCTTATAGCCAGCCTGACCCACCACTCACAAAACACTAGCCTCTGAACTACACAGTCACCTGGCCGTGACTCCCACCGGGGCCCGGTTCAAGTGTCTGCGGCCGCCGCGGTCATAAATGTGGGGCTTAGCTGGCGGCCAATCAGGCGAGAGCAGCATTCTGGGTATTACAACACACTTCTTGCGGCTCCCGCGGATGCTCGGGAGCGACCGCACGGAAACTTCGACATAACCTGCGCGCGTGATCAAAACATTGGTCATTTCACTCTTTCTGTAGGCTGGCATGATCCCGTTTCGCAATCAAGTAATCAAATAGGTAACTAAAAACGGTTAGTACTCACGAAACGATTAAGTCGTAATAAAGCCATTACACAAAAAAGTTTGATCGGCATTTCGGTTAAAAACTGCGCCATTTTTGTCGACAGCCGCAGCCGCGAGGATGTTCAACCGAACCGAAATTAGGCTCCGCCTCCCGGCCGCGGCGGCCGCAGAGCGCTCGAACCGGGCCCTGATAAGCTCGCCCTGAACCCACTCATCCCTCGCCGGCATATTCTGCCCCAGTTCAGCCTCTCCCGCTGTCTCCCCGCTGCCTCCCACTCACCTCAACACGTCGGTGGTGGTGCTCGAGTCGAGCGGGTGCACCTTGACGTGGCACGGCTGCTGCAGCACGTCGCCGTCCGTGTTCTGCGTCTGACAGTGCAGGTGCAGCGCTGACTTGAGGAACACGGTCGTGTTGTGGCGCATGTGCGGCGCCGCCGACCAGAACCAGGCCGGCATCGGGCCCGTGCCGGCCGTCGACGGAAAGTAGCCGAGCGCCAGCGGCTGCTGTAGCACGGTGCCGAACTCCTCCTGCTCCTCGTCACCGCCGCCCTGCCAGCCACCGACGGGGAGGGTCACCAGAGGTCAGTGGGGTATACAGAGGGTTACCAGAGGTCAGTGGGGTATACAGAGGGTTACCAGAGGTCAGTGGGGGATACAGAGAGTCATAGTGTCACCAGAGAGGTCAGTGGGGTATACAGAGGGTTACCAGTGGTCAGTGGGGGATACAGAGGGTTACCAGAGGTCAGTGGGGGATACAGAGGGTTACCAGAGGTCAGTGGGGGATACAGAGGGTTACCAGAGGTCAGTGGAGGATACAGAGGGTCACCAGAGGTCAGTGGAGGATACAGAGGGTCACCAGAGGTTAGTGGGGGATACAGAGGGTCACAGTGTCGCCAGAGGTCAGTGGGGGATACAGAGAGTCATAGTGTCACCAGAGGTCAGTGGGGGATACAGAGGGTTACCAGAGGTCAGTGGGGGATACAGAGAGTCATAGTGTCACCAGAGAGGTCAGTGGGGTATACAGAGGGTTACCAGTGGTCAGTGGGGGATACAGAGGGTTACCAGAGGTCAGTGGGGGATACAGAGGGTTACCAGAGGTCAGTGGGGGATACAGAGGGTTACCAGAGGTCAGTGGGGGATACAGAGGGTTACCAGAGGTCAGTGGGGTATACAGAGGGTTACCAGTGGTCAGTGGGGGATACAGAGAGTCATAGTGTCACCAGAGGTCAGTGGGGACAGAAGGTTACCAGAGGTCAGTGGGGGATACAGAGGGTTACCAGAGGTCAGTGGGGAATACAGAGGGTTACCAGAGGTCAGCGGGGGATACAGAGGGTCACCAGAGGTCAGAGGGGGATGCAGAGGGTCACAGGGCCATCAGAGGTTAGTGGGCCACTGGAGCGGTAAGCCGACTTCACGCCGTGGCGATACAAATACATATGACCGAGTTACCGAGACATCGTGAGCATGAAGCAAAGAACTCTGAGAAAAACGCCATCATGACCAGCCGTTAGTTATCCACACTCCACAGGCCTCTGAAATGCAAACGTCATTGAAAATGGTAATACTAAAGTCGAGTGAGTAAAATGCAGCATCGAAAAATATCGGCTGTTGGTGGAGTCAGCGATTTCGATTCAAAGGCACGACAGGAAAACAGCAGGACGCTTTTAAAGCGAGACGGAAATTAACCACCTGGGTCAGAGAATCGTGTGAAGACTGAATGGATCAAAGAAGCACGCCAGTTTCAATTCGTGTTTCCAGGTAATATGTGAAGTAGTCAACCATTCGATATCGTGCACACTGGGATTTACGGGAGCGTGACTGCAAGGTCATTTGCGTAACATTTGCCACTGCGGAAACGCAAGGCGCTGTCAGCCGCCTAGGTACTGAGTCAACCCGCTCTCCCAGGGGCTATAGCCACTCACCCTCTGGCTGCTGCCATATAGCCGGCTGTCCCCTAGCACCCCTACTCTCCCAGCACGTATTTCCTCTCCGGCCACTGCCGTGCAGCCGGCTGTCCCCTACTCTCCCAGCACCTATATCCTCTCCGGCTACTGCCGTGCAGCCAGCTGTCCCCTAGTCTCCGAGCAGCTATATCATCTCCGGCCGCTGTCGTACAGCCGGCTGTCCCTACTCTCCCAGCACCTATATCCTCGCTACTGCCGCGCAGCCGGCCGTCCCCTAGTCTCCCAGCGCCGCCGCCACCACTCACCCTCTGTCCGCTGCCGTTGGAGAAGGGTCCCTGCTGGCGGCCCAGGCCCGGCTGGACGGGCGAGGCCGTCGGCCGGTCGTCCGTGGGGCTGCCCAGGTCGCCGCCGCCGAACGACTCGTCCCAGTCGAGGCCGTCGAACAACATGTTGTCGCTGATGTCGAGCTCGCCGTCCTCCTCGATGGCGCCGAGCAGGTCGTCGGGCGCGATCAGCTCGGCGCCCAGCGGGTTGATGTGCTCCTGCTGGAAGGCCGTCTGGGAGCACTGGGTGGTGGCCGACGTCGGGAACACCATCACGTGCGTGCAGGAGGCGTCGTGCGGCGTGCTGAGCGCGCCCGAGCCGGGCTTCTGGGCGCCGTCCTCCGGCGTGCACTGGTCGAACATGAGCCGGTGACTGGTATCCGGCTCCAGAGAGACCAGACACGCCGACAGGATGGTGGGCATCTCGGCCGCCGGCAGGTGCTGACAGTGGCGGCACATCTCGCGCAGCTGCTTCGAGAAGCGCGTCAGCGACTTGCGACTCAGCACCGAGCTCCAGCCTGTGAGATACACGGAGCGGCCGTCAACGCCGGTACAGAGACACAGACAGACATCGAAACCGGCTGCAGTGCTCGACCCATAACTTAATCGGGTTTATGTACATTGCCGCCACAAAGCTGCACGTAACCGCATTATATTACCGCACGTAAACAAAGATCTCCGACAGAGAAATACCGACTGTTTCAGGCAATTTCCCGCTAAGAGAGCCTAGCTAACACCGGATAGGACCCAATATCTGAACCCATTCACCCCGGCCCGCCTGGCGATGCGTCTGCGCGACTCACTTTTGAGCTCTCCGTGTCCGATGCGTCCGAGCCGTCCGACCACCAGCCGCCAGGGGTGCACCGACTGCACCATGATCTGCAGCAGCCAGTCCATCAACTTCTGCAGGCCGATGCGGCGGGCGGAGATTTTGCGCCGCCGCAGCCGGTTCGGGATGTGGATGTTGATGGCGATCGTCTGTCGCATCTCGCCGCGCTCGTCGGTGCAGCTGGCCAGCAGCCAGCGCTGGTCCTCTGACAGGCAGTAGCTGCAGAACAGCGTGCTGGTGGTGTCGCGCGGCGAGTTGAGCACCTCGGCCTCCTTCTGCGCGTCCGGCAGCGGCGCCAGCATGAACGTCGGGTTGTACATCTGCAGCGTGGACACCTGGTCCTGCAGCAGACGGCGGCGGCAGGGTCAGACTGGGGTCGGCCGCGGGAGGGGCCGGACGCCACCCCGCGGCCTCCGGGGATGGTGAGCTCGGGACCGGGCGACCAGGCTGCACCAGACGGTCCGGATAACACTGCACTGCTAGTTTAAATGCAAATCCAGCACAAGTCATTAAGACCTTCATTTATGCTAGGGGCACCAGCAACATAATCAATCTACGAGCTTAAAAATAAGTTACAAAAAAAATATAGTTGTAGCGTGCGGACACTAATAATCACACAAGTCCCACACCCCCAGACAAACCATACCGCACGTCACCAACAGACCCGCCGCTGCCGCACCTCTCTGCCTTTGAGGCGCTGCTCGGCGCAGGCGGTCGGGCCGAACCCAGTCAGCGAGTTGGCCGAACTGGTGCCGTTGAAGGTGCGCTTGCACTGCGAGTAGACGGTGAAGGCCAGGGAGCGGAGCCGCTCGCGCTGCTGCGCTTGGTCCAGGTCACGCCACAGCGACAGGATGCTCTCCAGAGAGATCACCTGGCGGCGCCGCCGGAGGCAGTCAGTGACAGCGGACAGTCAGTACACCGAGCACGGTCAGCAACAACACGGAGAGTCAGCGGTCCTGGGACGGTCAGCCAACCGGGGACGGCCAGCAGCCCAGAAAGTGCATGGGACTGGACATGAGGGACGCGATTTAATCGCTGTTGCATGAGGAGACATAGGAGCATGGTTGACCAGTGGATGGGAATATGTAACATAACCGTCACCACGGCTTGTCATGGTTCACGGGGGCAGTGCCAGCTCCCACATAGTTCCTCCCCTTATCCTGTCCCGCTGCGCACCTGGAGTGTGATGTTTTTCTGCATGTTCTCCGGCAGCGTGGAGCGCATGTGCAGGTACGCGCGCAGCAGGGCCACGTTGATGAAGCGCTCGAAGGCGGAGAGCTGCGGTCCGTAGGTGAACGGGTCGATGAAGTAGACCACAATCTGGGGCAGCTCGGCGGACGCCGACGCGCTCGTGCCGCCCGGCGTCGGACCGTAGTTGACGCCGCCGCCGTCCACACCCAGCCGCGAGCCCTGCAGGTCGTCTGTGGGGGCGGCCGGGACGGGACCAGTCAGAGCGGCAGACAGGCGGGCGACGCTGAACGTGCGGCCGAACACAGACCAATGAAGGAAAGTAAAAATAAAGGGCAAAGCAAGACGCGTTTTTGCCCAGAAGCAGCGTCTCGCTATGTTCAATATTATGACTGACAATCCCAATAGCCCACATTAGCTACCACTTCGTGTAACGATTTGTAGTAAGATTCGTGCAGCTAAAAGAACAGCATTAAAGCCAGTATCCACGCCAACGAAACATGGGCAAAACCAGGCCATCCTTTTCGCTGCACCTTGAAACTAAAGGCTCTATCACGCAGACCGACCACTCGGCTCATACGAACCAATGCCTATTAGTACACCAGCGCCGTGCCTTGTGCCGCGCGGCACCACTCACCGTCTCCCAGCCTGGGCGTGGCCGGCGCGTCCGGGGTGGCAGGAGGCGGCATCGGCGACGGTGCCGGCCGCTCGCGCTCGGCGCCGCGCTCCATCGACGTCTGCAGGTACGGGCCCACGTAGTGGCGGCAGTACTGCGGGCGGAGGGGCACAGTCAGCTGGAGCGCGGACAGCCAGCGCGGCAGACACGCAGGGTCAGCCGTGTGGCAGAGGCCCGACATCAGACTGAGACATTCCAGCAGAAGACTAGACAAACGCCGGGGGGCCAGAGTTAGGGCTGAGGGAAACAATGTGAATACGCTGCAATGCCACGAACTGTTCTAATCCGTCTCTCAGACCCTTTCAAAGCGCGCAGAAATGCCTTCTATTCCATCTAAATCTCGTTTACCTTGCAGGCTCTCTGTTACCACGTCCTGACATAAATTCACCCAGCACACACCAGGGCATCGCCCTGTAGCTGTTGGGCCCCACCCCAGGCGTGCGCTCACCTGCGCGTAGAGTTTCAGTTTGGCGGCCACCTGCGACTCGCCCAGGTTGTTGAACCACTCGTCCACGTGCAGGTTGGCCAGCTTGGTGGCCGCGTTGCGGTTGATGCGTAGCACGCCCTCGGGACACGAGCTGCCGATGGGCACGTGCCGCCCCAGCTGGCACGAGTCGTACGTGCTGCTCAGTTCTCGGAAAAAGTTGCGCACGCGCGACACGATGAACTCGTTGTCTCCGGCCGGCGTGACGACCAGGTAGGCGACGTCGCGCGCGGCGGTGACCGGCTCCAGCAGCAGCTGGTCCCAGTGGCGCAGCGAGAACGGCGACGTCGACACCCACTCGCCCTCGTGTCCCACCAGTAGCGTGGGGATCGGCTGCGGCGTGCAGTGGTCGTCCGTGCCTGTCAGACAGGGGCACAGGTCAGCGGGGCGGGGGGAGAACGGCTCAGCGAGCGCAGGGTACGGGTCTCCGGGGCAAAACAGATCAGCAGGGGAGGGGAAGGCAGCGATCAGAGCGGTACCAGAGCGCGCACTGCAGTCAGAAGGTGTCTGTTTATGGAAGACGGATGCATCAACTGTGCAGAGGTTACAGAAGGTGAAAACTCAGAACCTACATACCACGACCAACAGAAAGCCTACAGAGAACGATGAAGAGCTGTCGCACGTCGCAACAGAAGACGACGCATGTGGTGGTAGACACGGACATGTGCGGAACTGCTACAAACATAGTCTGCACTCTGCAGCACTGGAGTCAAACACCACGCAATATTGATAAATAAAAGCGGTATGGCCGTAGTCCCGCAGGGTGACGCTCCAGCATCATGCTATAATGAAGCCACGCCAAAGAAGAATTGCTGACACTGGAAAGGTCAAAGGGACTTCCCCCATTTTCGAGACGTCATGAAACGCTTCCTTCATAATAAATACCGTAAAAATATCACACATGCGACCTTCATTATAAAGCTATCAAAAGAATATTTTGCGTTAGCGAGTTTGAGCCAATCATAAAAAAACTGTATGAAAATTAAGAGTAGAATACGATGTTTCGGAATATAAGCCAGGTTTAAGAAATAACCGTCAACGCAAGGCGAATAAAATGTGAAGTTTCAGTAAGCATCCGTAAAGTTCACAAAAAAAGGCATCCGCAAACACGATTCGAGAGAAGTCCCAGCGAACGGGAGGAGCCCGAAGCATGTCATCCGCACTAGCCCAGAAACCACAACAATGACCAACTAAAGCAGAGCATTACCGAACTGATGAAACTGAACCCTGCACACTAACTTAGCTGCACGGAGAACAGGCACATTCAGCCCTCTATGATAATAATGTCAATGACGAACACTGCAGCTCTACATTTTTTTGTTTCATACAGTCCTTTGGCATTAGGAATATCCAACAATTACTGCCACCTCGCCGCTACGCGTCATCCGCCAATACATTTGTCATGAATGCCGACACATGATCAGATGAGATGCGTGGCCGCCGTTAGGTTGTTAGGGAGCAAGTGATCCGGAAGACTTTATGGGTGACACCAACGTAGCGTGGAGTCGAGATAAAAGACGCTACGGCTCCCCACTGGACATGTTTGGCGACTGGGTCTCCTGACTGAGGACTCGCGACACCCACAAACAGCGGGCCTCGCCTTGGAGCAGTCTGTAGACTGAGCGGCGCGTAAATAAACAGCTGGCCGCGGCGGCCGGGCGCCAAACACACCGTCACACCGGCCGCGGCCGGAGGACCGCCACGAGGTGGCTGGCGCGGCACGGAACAAACGACAACTGAGGTGGCAATACGGGATCAACTCAAAGAAACGGCAGCCTGCCTTCCAGAAAATCAATGGATTACAATAGTGCGCCCAAAAGCATAACACAAACAAGAATAAATAAACATTACGCGTCGCTGGTTACTATCGATATAATGAATCAATATACTACGGGAACCCTGTACCCGCGTCAGAGTTATTCTAAGTATTTCAAGTTTTGACGATAAAGAAATGAGCTTATCCAGGCAGCAATTGGTTACGGGTGCCAGCTGACGACCATGCAGACCGACCCCCCCCCCCCCCCCCCCCCCCCCGGCCAGCACCGTGAGCGTCTCGCCCCTGCGTCTCACCTTTTCCGGCGAGCCGGTGGAACTGTTTCCAGGTGAGCGGCCCGGACACGATGTAGGTCGAGTCCCAGAGCACCGTCTGCCGCTTCTTCTGGATGGCGTCCTGCAGGTGCGGCTGCAGGCTGCGCATCACGCGCACAATGTCCTGGTTGCACAGCGGCCCGGCCGTGCGCAGGTTGGGCCACCGGTGCATCACGGCGCGCGGCTTGCTGTCGCCGCCGGCGGCGGTCGACTGGCCGGGCGGCGGCGGCGCGCCCGTGCCGCCGCGCAGCTTCTCCACCGCGCAGCGCACCACGTCCGACGCGTCCGAGTGCTCCAGGACACTGACGGCGGCCTCGGTGGCGGCGGCGGCGGCGGCCGCGCTCAGGTACTTGAAGGCGGTGCGGTGCACCAGGTTGGCCATGCTGGGCGAGGTGAGGCACTGCTCCTGGATGAGCTGCAGCAGCTCGGGCGGAACGGCGTCCACCAGCGGGTCGGGCTCGCAGCGCTCGCCGGGCCGCAGCGGCGCCAACAGCGCCGGCTTGCTGCGCTCGTACTGCACCTCGCGCCGCTCCCCAGTCAGTTCTACCTCGTCCTCGAGGAACAGGCCGCTGCGGTAGGCCAGCGCGCGATTCACCACAGCGCTATAGCCACACTTGCAGCTGATGGGCTCCTCAGAGTCCGCGTTTGTACTATCCGGAATATAGAGTCCTGCCTCCTTTCCGCGAATGTTCCCCACCCGGCTCGCGCCGGCGTTGCACACGCACATTGTACAGCTGTCAAAGTTGTGGTCGTGGAACAGGTTGAGCATCGAGTCCTCGAGCATGACGTTGACGAGCAGCGCCGACACCTCGGGCGCCTGCTGCGACAGCAGGCCGGCGGCGTCGACCGTGCCGGCGCGGCCCGCCAGCGCCGCCGGCCCCGAGGCGGGCGACTGCGGCTCGAACCCGCCGCCTCCCACCGAGTGCGGCCCGCCCACCGAGTGGGGGCCCATCGAGGCCGGCCCCACCGAGCCGGGGCCCGACTTGAGCGAGGCCGGGCCGCCGTCGTAGTGCGCGGCCGGCGAGAACGGCGACAGGCCGTGACGCGCCACCGACACGGGCGGGTGCGTCAGCATGCCCGTCTGCGCCATCTGGTTCATCGACTGCATCGGGCCCGGCGGCAGCGGCTGCGAGAGCGGCACGGCGCCCGGCGGCGGCGGCCTCCTGCGCACACGGACACGGGGCCGAGTCAGAGCACGGAGACGGAGACAGGCGGGCAGAGCGGTGTCAAGAGCACGGAGACGGTGCCGAGTCAGAGCACGGAGACGGAGACAGGGCGGGCAGAGCGGTGTCAGAGTGGGGACGGACACAGAGTGGGCAGAGCGACGTCAGAGTAAAGAGACGCACGGGGAGGGGCGGCCAGAGCGACGCTAGATTAGGGAGACGGCGCGGACGACGGGCGGACGGGGAGGCGTCACAGTCCAGAGCTAGGACTCCCGGCGAGCTAAGGTGAGGCTACCCACAAAAACATCGAATATCCCCCCTCCCTCAGTCCCGCATTACCCTTCCACACTCAGTCTCCGTCACCCTGTCCCGCCCGGAGCCCGTCGCCAGGGAGAGGGCCAGCACTGACCCGGTGAGCGCCATCTTGTCGACGGGCGCCGGCTGGACGGGGCCGTACTGCCAGCTGGGCTTGTAGACGGCGTCCATGGGCAGGTTGACGGGCGACAGCTGCTGGCTGGGCAGGCTCTCCAGCGGCGCGTACTTGGGCGAGTTGACGAAACTGTTGAGCGCCGCCGGCCGGAACACGTACGACATGTCCTGCACAGCGGCACAACGGCAGGTCAGAAGGTGAGCGGGAGGGCCGCGGGAGGGACACAGGGCGGAGCTGACAGGGGAGCGGCCTGCCGGACGGACACAGGGCACCTGGCCCCGGTCATGAGACGCCAGTAACGCAATGAAGGGAGTCACCTCAAATGTATGTCTTCTGTCTAGGCACAGAAAAAGATCAACCTAGGCATATTTCATTAAAAATAATATTTTAAAAACACTTCAACATTCTGGATCGCAGCCTTGAAAGTAAAAAATCCAGCCTCGCTTCTCCTTCAGGTACGTTAAATTATCAGTAAGAATGCAGCGATAACTGATCTCAGTCTGTGAGGACAAGTGAACCGCCTTCTATCGTCAACAACCTGTCAGCTGTGTTTAAAATTGGCGCCACCCGGCCGGCGCGCGCCAGACGGCGGAGTCTGACAGGGCGGCAGCCTGGTGGCCAGGTGCTGCCGGCGCGCGCTCTGTTTACGCGGGCATCACAAGGGACTGAGCGGCGGGGAGGGGAGGGGGTGACTGTCACGCCATTCAGCACTGCTGTTTACCACGCGCCGCTGTCAGAGTGACCTATTGAACTCCCCCAACACCGGGCTGGGCGGCGACTGCGTCTTGAAATACACAACATAGGAGCTACTGAACTCGGGGTGGCGAAATGATTATTATTTACGTTGTTAGTGAAATAAAATAATATTAAATATGATAGCCAACAAAGCAGGGAGAGTGCCAATAAGCTCTAGAGTTTCCAAGCGTTTTTTAGCGTTTGAATTATCAAAGAAAAACAAAAACGTTCATATTTTGAAGTAATCAGCTACCAGAGGTTTCAGGTGCAGCTCCACGGACAAATGGGCCGGGTCCCCAGTGCTCCACCCCACTCCCGCGTCACGTACCATCGGCTCCGGCGCCGGCGGCGGCGGCTGCCCGTCCTCCGTCCGCTCCATCTTGAAGAGCGCCAGCGCGGCCGGGTCGGCGTCGGCCGGCGCGCCCTCGTAGTGGCACACAGGCGACGCGCTCGGGTTGTGGTTGTGCTCGTGCGACGGCGGCGTCGGGTAGATTTTCGACAGCTCGATGCTGCTGAGCATGGCGGTGGCGGCCGGCAGCACCGTCTTGCCGTGCAGCTTGCCAGCGGCGGCGGCGGCCGCGTCCTCGGCGGTCACGGCGCCGTTGGGCTTGTTGGAGCCGGGCGGCGTGGGCACGGCCGGCTCCTCGGCGTCCCACTCGTGGTCGTCGAACATGTTCTCTAAGTCGGCCAGCTTGGGCTGCAGGCCCTGTGTGGTGAACAGGCTGTCGGTCTTGACCTTAGGCGCGCCGCCGCCCGCCGCCGCCGCCGACTCGTCCGCCTCCGACTTGAGTCCGTCCATGTGCACGGGCGCGTTGGGGTCGTCATCGAACTCGTACGGGTCGGCGGGCCGCTTGGTGCCGCGCGACAGCGGCAGTCCGTCAAGCTGCGGGCAGCCGAGGGACGGTGTCAAACAAACAGACAGTGCGAGCTTAGCCACAAACAACGACTCTTTCAGGCACCCACTTGTGGCGCCTCCCCTTTTACAGCCCTAACAACATTCGTCGGTGAATTGCTCGTCGCGTACCCAGTCATAAAAGATAAATAATGAATGACCTAGTTATGAATGAAACGAAAATCGGTCCGCGTATGGACACGCTCCCATTCATACGATTCTAAATTCTTCACACGGTTTCATTCAAAGTCTTGTGTAGAGTGCTCGCCGGTAGAATCAAATATTTTCGCGATCTATGGCAAATTCCCCTTCTGTTACCCAAGCGCAGTCGTCGGTGCGTTTATATGAACGCCTATACGACTATATGCCGGTAGAAAGAATACCCGGGAAGACTTTACCGATAACATATAAAACTAATGCATGTAACACAGCCTGCTCCGCGGTGATAGTGATCACCGGTAACAGACGCCACGGCTGGCGCCACTGGTTACAATGCAGGCCGCGAGGTGTCCCCGGCTTCCCGCTATGCTAGCTGAACGTGCAAACACGTATCGACCGGCTCAACCGATGATGTAACGGAGGCGACCGTATGACGCCACGCGCCGCCAGGCTTACACGCTGCACACGTCATACGCTGCAAACATGACGTCACATCAGCCGCTCTGAACCAGCTACGCGCGGCGTAAAAATACCCCGACACGGGCCGGCCGGCCGGCGGTCGAATCGTACCATTCCCGGAACGTTACCGAACAGTGCCGGCACTGGGGTGACGTACGGAGCCCGAGCCATCTGCGCCGGGCGATAGCGAATACGAACGGCAACTATCGCGGCCGGCACGGGTATCAGGACGGTACCCGGAGAAGCTCGTGATATAAACATCAAATAAGTCATCGATAAACCGAGTGAAGGGCCTCCAAAAGGATACACTACCATATTCGTCTCATGGCAAACAAAGATATTAGCTAAGGTTACGATGCCTTGGGCACATTTTATAGCAAAACACTGGAATAAAAACGATCACGCCCGGATAATTGACGCGGGCATTTCCCATCCTACTTTTAAACCCCGGAGGCGAGTGACGCAGCTCGGTACGTACCCCGGTGTGCTGTGAACCCTCGGTACGTTAGTACCCCGGTGACCTGTGACCCCTCGGTACGTTAGTACCCCGGTGACCTGTGACCCCTCGGTACGTACCCCGGTGGCCAGTGCCGCGCTCAGTACGTACCCCTGCCGGCGGTCGTCCGGCGGGCGGCGCCGTGCCGTCACCGTCGTGCAGCAGACGCTCCGACCGATCCACCTCGTCCTTGATACGGCGCAGGAAGGTGGTACGCAGCTCGGACGGCCGCTTCACCGGACAGCTCAGCCTGCGGGCGGGGAGACAGGGGGTTAGGGAGCTCGACCAGACAGGTCAGACGGGGGGGGGGAGACAGGGGGGTTAGGGAGCTCCACCAGACAGCTCAGCCTGCGGGCGGGGAGACAGGGGGTTAGGGAGTTCCACCAGACAGCTCAGACGGGGCGGGGAGACAGGGGGTTAGGGAGCTCGACCAGACAGCTCAGACGGCGGGGAGACAGGGGGTTAAGGAGCTCCACCAGACAGCTCAGCCTGCGGGCGGGGAGACAGGGGGTTAGGGAGCTCCACCAGACAGCTCAGCCTGCGGGCGGGGAGACAGGGGGTTAGGGAGCTCCACCAGACAGCTCAGCCTGCGGGCGGAGAGACTCGTTTAGGGAGCTCGACCAGACAGCTCAGACGGGGGGGACAGAGTGAGGGAACCTCACCGGACAGCTCACTAGACCGAAGGGAGGCCTAGGCCACTTCACTCGACTACTCAATTTGCGGAAGCGAGCACACAGGAGGTTAGGTCAAACACTGGGCAATGCAGACTGCAGGGAAGGCTGCGGACACAGGGTTTTACCGCACCGGACGCAGCTCGATAGACGCCACGCCGCTGTGTGAAGGACATCTCTCGCGTAAAGGACACTCTCGGGACCGTCCCGCCCCAAGACACAACAGTAGATACGAGACAATATCGACCACTGTGCAACACAGCCACACAATGTGGACTGTGTGGACCGGTCCAAACCTGTGCAGTCGACAGACGACAAAACAATTACTATGCTATGACAACTGAGCCTTAGAGGCGTAAAGCCAAACAAAAACACGATTGGGAGCGCAAGGTAACAGCTGAGCGATACGGTATGTTGTCTCGACAAAAGGCGCACACAATAGGCAGTGGCACGACAATTAAGCACATCCGACAGTCTTGAGATAAATATAATTAAAAAAGAAGAAAAAGCTTCCAAATATTTATATGAATTGAACGCGTTTCTGTTAGCTCATGTACAATAATATGCTCAATGAACTGACATTGAACAAAACCTACATGTTTTACTGTATTGTCCGTAGACTTGGAGAACTATCCACCCCACCATTCAGTGCGACCGGCAACCTCCCAACAGCCAAAAATAGCCGCGCCCTGCGCGGTCCATCAGGAATGGCCGTGGCCTCGGTACACGGCCTCCGATCAATGTCTAAATATACGCCAATCGGAGGGGCGGGCGGTGGTCAACAGAGACCGGGGACGACCCCGCTGCCGCCAGCCGGGTCCGAGTGCCGGGCCAGACCCTCGGGAGAGCCGCCACACCGACCGGCCAGTGCAGCCGGGCCGCTGTGAGTCACGGCGTGACGCAGCGGCTGGCGCGGCCCCAGCAGCCACTCACTCACCAGAGGTCGACGTCGCCGAAGTTGTACAGGTTGGACGAATCCACCATGTCGACGTCCGTCTCCAGCTGGATGGTGGGCAGCTGCGGCCGGCGCAGCAGCGACTGCCGCGCCGGGCTGCTGGTGGCCGCCGCAGCCGCCGCCGGCGCCGCAGCGGCCGCCGCCGGCTCCGGGCCGGAGGCGCCGGCAGGCCGCGGACTGGGCGCCACGGAGGCCGGCTTCGGGTAGGGCGAGTAGACGGGCGTAGCGGCGCTGCCCGGGTCGGCCGGCGGCTTGGTGTCGCCGGCCGCGTCGCCGCCGGCCAGCGGCGTCACCGGGTTGGGCGTGGCGCCGCTGGGCGTCGGCGGGTGCGGCGACAGCGTGGGCATGGCGTGGTCGGCCGCCAGCGGGCCCGGCTGCGAGTGCGGCGTCGGCAGCGGCGAGGGGCCCACAGAAGCCGGCGAGTCCATGGGTCCGACGGACGGCAGGCCGTCGGTGAGTGCCGGCCGCGCGCTGCCCGGCGTGGCCACCTGCGACTTGTAGTAGGCCTGCGGCGGCGGCGGCGGCGGCGCGCCGTTCAGCCGCGCCACGCCGCTCACCAGGTCCGTGTCGATGGTGCGCGACAGCTCCTCGGAGAGCGTCTGGCGCCGGTGGCACACGCCCGCCTTCATGCGCGGCGGCCGCTCCTTCTCCTGCCGCTTCAGGTACTGCTGCTTCTGGCGCACCTTGCGCTTGCAGTTGGCGCACGCGCAGCTGGGCTTCTGGATGGGGTCCTGGAACTCCCACTGTCCCAGCGACTCGGGGCTGTTGTCGCCGGCGGCACTGACCCCCAGCGTGAGCGTGCCGCGGCCCGGGCCGCAGGAGACGGTGGCCTGGCGCCAGGCGCGCACGGCCACCGGCTCGGCGAGCAGCTCCGAGTCGGCGGCGGCGGCGATCTCCAGCAGCGGCCGGCTGGAGGCGGCGAACGGCGAGCACGCCTCGCCGCCGCCGCCGGCCGCCGCCGAGGAGGGCGACACGGGCGGCGTGGCCGCGCCGCCCGGGGACAGGTGCGTGGAGACGCCCAGCGGCCGGAGCGCGCTGCCGCCGGAGCCGGCGCCCGCACCGCCGCCGGCCGACGGCTCGTCCGACACCAACACGTAACTAGTTAAGTAGCGCATCTTCACATCACCTGTGGAATGGGCAGAGCGTTAGAGCACGGCGCAATGGGCGTAGCCAAGCTGTGGTGCCTTATCAATGGCACAACCAACGGGTTGGAGCAGAATTTCACGAATTTACAACGTTTACTACAACCAATGGAACTTCGTGACGACCAGAGCGCTCACGACTCACGACACCGTGTTTCCATCAAACAAAAACTGAGTCAGTTACAAGTGTAAACACAGTCACACATTACGGCACAGCTATCCCACCAATCAGCACTGCACGAGCTAATGCATCCGATAAAGGAACTAATATCATGTTTTCACGACATTAGTTGCAGCCGTCCGTCCGGCTGTCCGTTGCCACCTTCCCCCGTCCCGCGAGCAGCCCATTACACCACCCACCCCATCCGCCTCTTACTGAACACACACTTAACACCGGCACGGTCCACCAGCCGCCACTTACCGACAAGCACCTCCACGACGACGGGCATGTGCGGCTCGCGGCCCGTCTGCAGGCTGGCCACCACGCGGCCCTCGATCGGGTAGAACTGGCGCCACGCCTTCACCAGCTTCTGGGTGTCCGGGGTGCCGAGCCGGAACGTGTGCCCGGTCAGCACGCCGGCCAGGCCGTAGGGCGCCAGTACGACCGGCAGGCCGGCGCCGTGGCCGTGCGCCGCCGACAGGTGGGCGCGCGTCAGCCGCCGCAGCGGCCCGTGCTGGCGCAGCGACAGGCTGGCGCACACCGTGCTCTCGCCGTGCACGAAAAACGAGAAGGCGAAGCACAGGTTGGCGCTGCAGGCGGAGAGCGGGTGGTCAGCGGGGCGGAGGAAGAGTGAGCCGGCTACCGGGAAACTGACCTGTCGAATACCCGCACAAACACATCACAGTCCAACGACATAACTTACACAATCTTATGAAGGGTCACGAAAAACCGAGGGTTGTTATTATATAGTACCTGTTGCCAATTACTTGGATTAAAATATGCAAAAACGGCCAATCGAGACGAAGTCCACTGTAATAAACTTTTGTGCAAGCATCCGAATAAAATTATTTGATCTTCTTCATATCATTATCAACTACAAGTCCCGGAAGAAGAACACACAATTTTGGACACCACCATAACGAACATACCAAAGGGTGGTACCCTAACAATTGTTTGCCGAACGGATTTCCTCTGCACAGGTGTTTCACTTCATGACAATGGCTAGGAAATAAAAAGACAGGCTTAGTGTAATTTCATCCATCATTTTCCCATAATTTCCGGTAGGTCAAGTTACAGGAAAGTCATGCTACTTTCTGAGGCTTTCAAGAAATGACGGAGTTCCAGCCAGACCGAACAGACTATCTTCCTCGGCGGCGCTGCGCTGTTGGCACGGTCCGTGAGCGGCGGCTCGGGGTCGTGACCGGGCGATCTGCGGACGGCCGTCAGATCCGAGCGGCCATTTAGACGGAGTGCAGGTCGCCTGTGGCGTACCGCGCGCGGCAAAAACGGACTCCGGCGAGCTGGGACGCGGAAGTAGAGCGGTCTGTACCTGTTGGCTTTGTTTGGGGATTTGTCGACGCCGGAGCAGGGCTGCGCGAACCATTTTCCCAGCTTGACGAATCCGCGCGACAGGAGACACCTGAAAAGAGAACAGATCGGTGTTACAAGCAGCATACGTCGCCCGTAGCGGACAGTGTAGTCACATGGCGCGGTCCCATCATACAGGCAGTCGGCCGCGCGGTTCGGCGGGGCGGGGGCGGGGGGCGGTGGCGGCTCCTCATTGCATCTGGCGCTGGGACCGCCGCCCCGGCGCGGCCGGCAGCTACGTGCTGGCCGCCGCCGACCGGTACCCGGTTATCGCCCCAAACGGCGGCGGCTGGCGGCGGCGGTGTGAGTGGCGCGCCCGGCCGCCGGCCGGCATGAATCGTCGGCCGTGTTTACATCTGGTGCGCGGCGTCAGGGGCACGGCGAGTGCGGCCGCCGCCGACCGCCGACACCTCGGGGGCGGGCGGCGGAGGGGGGGGGGGGGTACTCCGCTGCTCGCCAGATTGCACCGGCCGCCGCCAGGGGCCGGGAAGAACCGTACCGCCGGAGACGGCCGCGCCGCCGCACTCGTGGGATAGGCACCAGGAAAGGTGGCGTGACGCAAAAACACTGAAACCGGTCAGCGCCGCTCAGCTATATCCCCCAACTCCTGCGCGTACCGTTCACTGCCAGGGATGAAATGCACGAGCGATCAAATCGGAATATTCTACATTCAATCACATGTCACGCATAGCCAGACAAAACATAATTTACAATTACAATCAGCTCAATTGAGCGCTGTTGAATTTCACTCCAAATGGAGTAGCACACGGGACAGAAGCGTTGCGGCCAGATAGACCAGGATATCAGCAACTACTTCTGGTTAAACCCGGCGGCCGATCGAGTTCAACGGCACAGGGGAATAACCCACTGTGAACCGGAACTGACCGCACTATCACGGGCCACCGGGTTGTGTTACAATGTATCGATGCGTTCACCATTGCACTGTTGGTGACAGCACTGCTCCTTCGTTAGCTGGCAGTGCCTTCATACATGAGGGGCAGAGCCGTCGCACACGTCACAACGTGCGCGACGCGTCGTGTTGGGTCAGTGAACTCGCGGTCGGCTGAGCGGCGGCCGTCGCCTGGTTTCGGCTCCGACAGAGGCGGCCGGGCGGCACGACCGTGCCGGGAGGCGGCGGCCGCATCCGCCCGGCCCCACTGCACGCGGCAGCGGCGGCACTCCGGGGCGCCGGGAACAGCCGGCCGGCCGGCCACCGGGAGCACCGGGTGCGCCGGCCGCTCCAAGGCTGGCTGCTGCGCCGGACGGCCCGGCGGCGGGGGCCAGCCACCGCTAGGCGCCGCGCGCCGGCCCGGGAACTATGTCAGCCGGTGGGCCGGGCCGGCCGGCCGGCCGGCAGTGGCGGGCGCGTCCGGCGCCGACCTTGGCCGGGCGCGGCCGACAGAGGCGCTCGGCAGCCGGCGGCGGCTGCACGCCGCCCCCGCCACCTCGGCTGGCCGGCCGGCCGGCCGGTCGGTCGGGCCTCCGCTCGGAATTACCGTCGTGACGTCACACCGTGACAGGGCCGCCGGCCGGCGCCGCTCCGTGAGCGGTCGGCTGGTGAGCCGTCGCCGCCGCCGCCGCCGCCGTCACCGCCGCCACGCACACATACATGATTGAAGACGTGGCGAGCCGGTCGGGCGCTCTGTCAGCCCGGCCAGGCGGTGAGGGGAGGGGAGGGCAGGCGCACCACCAGTCTCCGGACCGCCGCGCCGGGAGACGGCCACCGTGCGTCACACTCTCGCCGCCGGAACATTATCGACCAGCCAGAAACCCGAGTGGCGCGCGCCGCCCAGCTGCGGCGCGGGCGAGCGCGCGCGCGCGTGTGTGTATGTGTGTGTGTGTGTGTGTGTGTAATGATTGCCCGATCATCAGGGAGCGGGCGGCGGCGGCGGCGGCGGCCGGTTGGCGTATTGAGCGGCGCGGCGGCTACCATTGGCCGCCGCCGGCCGGCGTAGTAAGCGGCCGCCGCCCGCCGATCAATAGGATCACCGGCGCTCGGTTAACAAGTGTCAGTCGCCGCCACTTAGCGGCTGGCCCGCCGGCAACACCTGATCACCAGGCCGGCCGGTCGTCCGGACACCGGCACGCACACCTACCTCTCGATAAACTTGTGTAGCGCCTTGAAGAGCAGAGAGCGGCACTCGTACGAGAGACCGCTTTCCCAGGTGCCCTCGTCTTGCTCTGGAACGAAGAGAGGGGCCGGTCAGTGAGAGGACGGTGATGATGCCGGTCAGGGGGGGGGGACGGGCGCCGGTCAGCGGGACGGTGATGGGTGCCGGTCGATCGGGTACCGGTCGGTCCGCACATACCGGCCGGCTGGTGCGCCGTGACGCGGCGCCAGCCGGCGGCGGCGGGCAGGTGCGCGCCGGTCCGGCGGCGCCGTTTGGGACGGCGCGCCGGCCCGGCTGGCAGCCGACAAAAACCAGCCGGCGCCGCCGCCTCCCGGCCAGCGCACGGCAGCCACCATTGACGCCTTCGCCGGCCGCTGGCCGCCGTAACCATAGAAACAGATCGATGGTCGGGAGCGCGCGCGCCGCCACTTTTCGCCGGGTAATCAGCGCTGGCGGCGCGCGAGAGCGGCCGGTTAGCCACCGTCCGTCCGTCCCCGGGTCCGCCGGTGGCGGCACGTGCCGGTCCGCGCGGCGCCCGGCCCATCTGCCGGCCGGCCGCCATGGACTCCCACTCCACTGACCTTCAGTACTTAGGGTTGCATGCAGGCCGGCGGCCGGGCTTCTGGGGCCGGCCGGCCGGCCGGCGCTCGGCACATCAAAGGGCACCGCTCGGCCGCCAGCCGTCCGTTGCGTAACAGCGCCGCCACAGACACGGGCGCCGTATCAGCAGCGCTACGCGCGCTCTCGACGAGCCGGGGCTCGTACAGCAGGGATAGGGCAGAGACAGTTGGAAAAACGACTACGAGTGAGCTACCAGCGCTATCATAGATCCATTGTTCACGTCACGGTAGGGATTTCCATTCTAGAGCTCCGCGGAGTACGGTTCGGTTCCAGAAATGCTGGAAAACTTCCGATCACACATGGAAAAAAGCCTGCGCGCGGGGAGCGCGAGGCGCCGACCGCGCCAAGCCACAGATGGTTGCCCCGGGCAACGGTGTCGGCGGCGGCGAACACCGCCTGGCTGCGCTCGGCGGTCAATGTCACCGTGCACGAGCCAGCGTTGCCGGGCGCTCATTGGCCGTCGGCCAGGCGCGCCGCTGCGCGTACGGCGCCGCACGCCGACACAGACACAGCGCCACGCACTGCTGACGCCGTCCTGTTACACCCGGCGCCACGGAACCGAGCGGCGCCCCATTCAGACGCTAGGAATTCGGCCGGTACTACTGCGGTCATACATCGACTGACTGCAGGGAGTAATGGAGGCCAAACGCTCCCAGAGCAAATGAGCATCCGCTGAGGAGGGCTCGATAAGTATGAGCATCTTTTTAACCCGCGCCCTGCTGGGGGTCCTGGATTTCCACGCCCTGCTGGGGGGGGTGTTTGAACACCCCCCCTTGTAACTCGGCTCCTGGGCCACGTAGCGATACGCGGAAGGCGGCGTTCGAAAGAGCGTAAAAAATAATGACGAAATCACTTCGGTCAATTTTTTGGTCAGGTCAAAGGTCAGGTCACCAGAGGTCATTGAAGGCAAAATTTCGCCGATTTCCAGGTCAAATGTCGAAAATTTCCAAGAAGCCAACGCATAACTCGGGAACCAATAGAGCTACAGCGCCGCGGAAAAGCGCATTCGATAGCCCTATTAACGCCCTTTCTGAGTAATTCTCTCAGATTTGACCTAACGTCAACGGTTTTGCCTGCAGGGGGCAAAAACTGCAAAAATAGCCGATTTTTTCGAAAACAGTTTTTCTGCAATAACTTTTGACCCAAACATTGTACGAGCTTACTTTTACCGGCATCGTGTTCCTCTCGTCAAGACGCATCGAATGAACTATAACTTGACCTTGAAAGGTCAACTTGAAAATTTGACCTCAGGTCAAGGTCATGACCTGACCGGAAAGGGTCATGTTGCATATCAGTCGATCCGTATCGTCGAGCTGAACACATCTAAGGCGTTTTCATCGCTCTAGCATGCCTCTATCAAAAGTTATTTGCGAAAAACTGTTAGATACCATTCGTGACCTAAGATGACCTCAGGGCATAAACAAGGGTCACGGACACCATTTTCAAGTTCAGTGTGTCTAAACCACTTGTAATTCGGTGTTTGGGAGTGTTTATAACGTCTTTCATCCAAAAGAGGCGCATTTCAATTTTCTCCCATTGACTTATAATGGGGAGGTCGCAAAATTGACCTGACCTTAGGTCATCGATATCAAAATTCTGAGATATACATTTTGTACATGCTATTGCTCTTAGCAATCGCTGAAAGTTTCAAAGCGATCGGTCACTCGGTGTAGCTATGACAGACATTGAAAATTTTTATGAGGTGAGGTCACTTCAAGTGACCTGGTGACCTGACCTTGAATGACCTTGGTCTGAAATTTTTCACAACATGTGTAGAATTGATGTATGATAAGGTGTACCAAAAACGGCGGCGCTCCGCGCCGCCGTTTTTGAGATATTCGCGAAAAACCACAGGGGGGGGGGGTGTTCAAACACCCCCCCCCCCCCCAGCAGGGCGCGGGTTAAATGGGTCCTGTCCTCTCAATGCATCTCGAGCTTCAGCGACTGACGAGACAAGGAAAGGTCTATGCCAGGAGCTGCATTCAACAGGACTGGTCATTTCCGATTCGTCCCGGCTACAACTGAATCAAAATACACCGAAAAAACAACGGCAAAATGTTATCGTGATTTGACAACACGCTCACTTTGCATCACATGTGAACCAAAAATAAGCGGTTCCTTTCAGTGGGTGGAGGGCGGCTTCTCGGATATCATTGACAATGACATCATCTTACAAACGACGCAATGACCAGGGGCCATTACGATCCTTCCAAAATGCACACAAGAAGCGTTTCGGAGTGCAGGGGGGTAACCGTAACTGTCACCGTGACCCAGAAATGACGGGTCAGCCCCAGACTGGGCAGAACACTGGCTGGCGAACACGACTCAATATGGTAGACCCGGATATCGCCACAGATTTCCGACCAAAGCGAAACTGTACGGCCACACCCAAAACTGCCATCTAGGATTATCAAAATTATTGGTATTTCGCAGAAGAGAAATAAGACAACAAAGATTGCTGAAATAAAAGTAGAAATCATGCCAAAGAAGCATCACTTCTCAATCAGTAGGTACAACAGATTTCATATCAATGGTTCAATCTTTTTTAGTAGGTAGGTGCCCAAATGACGACCAAGACCACCGATAATCGATGGGACATCATACAGTAGAATCCGCTTAAAGGGACCCTCCCACCTTCAAAAAAGTTAATGAATTGGCATGAAAGTGATGTCGCTCGGTTCAGAAAGAGCAAAAACGAATACCTACCAAATTTCATCGAAAAATATTCACCAGTTTTCAAGATAATAGACTTTTACTTTTGTTTACTTTTTGGGATCTCCGCTGTTCCTAGCGACTTTATTTGAAAGTGCGGCATTTGTTGCGCGCAAAGCAGCATATTCCACCGCGTGCTACAAAACGTTTTAGTCAAACATTTAACGGAGGTTCGAAAGCCTGATGACGCCATCAGATTCCCGTAATGGTTAAGAGATAGGGACCACGCTGGTCCCACCCTGCAAGTAAAGGAAAGAAATTTTTTGAACACCATAAAGCTGCGGGGGTTGCGACCAGGATAAATGGTGGTTTCTGAGCCTGGCCGCAAACTTGGCTATATCAACTCAAAACTAATGTTAAGGTGGGAGGGTCCCTTTAAGAAATCCTCGGATAATAAATCCAGCCGCTTATTGTGGCAGCTTCAGCTGTTCAGGCTGCGCCAAGCACCGACCCGGAGCGGGCTAACTGGTCGACAAAAGCAATTTGAAGCGTTTTCAAAGCAATATAAAGGCACGGGTCGGGTGCATAGACGGCGGAACGGGGAGGGCACCGGCGCACCGTGCCCCCTTTGATTTTGGCATTTTAACATTAGCCCTATGGGCGTTGCACGGAAAGAATGGGACCAAAAGTCGGCAGTGTCCCCCCTCTCTTAATTGAAGGTGTTCCGCCGCTACTGGTCGGGTGGACTATCATATTTATACGTATTTTTTTTTAGTTGAAAAAAAAAAATTATCGCTTCAGGGCTGTGACGAAAAATAAGTGACCTAAATCCGATGAGAAAACATGATTTGGGGGTACCCTAGGTTTGGTTCCTTGCATGAGTTGCCCCCCTCCCAAAAAAAAAAAAAACGAAAGGCTGGATCCGCCAGGTCATACCTACCCCCTCTTTACCGTGTTGGTTAAGGAGGGGTCTTATCTACCCCACTTTACCGTGTTCGCGAACAGTTCATGAACGTTCGCGAGCTGTTCGTTGTTTGTTTACCAAAATTTGGCCGATAACGTCACTTGCTCGTTAACAGTTTGTTTTTGTTTGTTTATTTGAAAAATTAAACAAACGCCCAACCCTGAAATTAAAGCATCAACTAGCTGAGTTCACTGACTCAAATGTGTATGAAATAAGGAAAAAATTGGCCCCAAAGCTGTGGTTGTGAGACCATTCTCCTGGCGTTGCGGTGGCTAACCGTCAGCGGCCCGAATCGTGGCAATAACGCATAGACCGCACTTAATTGTTTCTAATCACGCACCACAAAGTGGGCTAGACACGCGCATTATCCAACGCCAGCAACAAGCGAGCGATTCAGCCGGGTATGCGGCTTTAGATCCGCACAACATGCGAGCGTTGGATGCCGCAGCTGCAGCTGCTTACGTGGCCTATGGCACCGGTCCCCCGAGCCCACAGCCGGCGGCCGATATTCATGGCATTGCCGCTGAATATAAACACCGGCCGGTCACACCGAGCACGGTCCGAGGGTTGCGTCATATCTCGGCACCGTCTATTATAGCGTGCGTCAGACTGGAACGGTGCCGACCATCCTCGTGCGCGAGCTGGACCTTTGACAACAAAGTCTTCATGAAGGCGACCGATTTTACCGCGGTGGGGAGCCGAACGATATTCAAATCACCAGCCGTGGTAGCTACAGGGTAAGTATCGAAGCGATGCCTAGTATGCAAGCGCCGTTCGGTAGCGAGGCCGTAAAATTGATACTGATTATTTGTGTTTATGGACAAACTAGAGCG